GAATAGAACTTATGCAATTATCCGTTACTTAATCAACTTTAAAACATCTATAACATGGTAGGTTTTTGGAAACATACTTTTTTTTTGGATTGCTAGAGTATTTCTCTAAATGTCATGTGACAGAAAATAGCACGATCACAATTTCAAACGCGATGACATAAAGTAGTTTACAATTCAAATTAGTTTTCTCAACTAAACAGAATTGTTAGTGTGGACAAACTTAGCTGGTATATAAGTCCAAAATCTGAAAAACACCGGAATACTTTTCACAAGAAAAACCAAACATGGAGTATACAAATTATGATCATCATACATCTCTGATATACATAAGTCCAAGAGATTAAGTGGGACAGTAATTACTTACCGTGGAGAAACTTGTCTTGTATATATAACGATCACAAAAATCTTTAAAACTCTTCACAAGATAAATTCTTGAAAGAATCAAGAAATGCAAAATGATGATCACTATACTTCTCTTATGCTAATTAACCTTCATTACCATTTTCTACTATAAAAAACAGAAGACAGGGAAGAAAAGCAACACATTGCCTCACCACTGAGACATCCGTTGATCGGAAACCTCCATCAGCTTGGCCGCTGCACTCTCAGCCACCGTTACGGTCCTCTCATGCTACTTCACTTTGGCCGTGTCCCCGTTCTTGTAATCTCTTCTGCGGATCGGATGCGGCTAAAGACATTTTGAAGACGCACGACCGGATTTTTGCGAGCCGTCCACAGTCAAAAATCTTCCAAAAGCTTCTTTATGATGGGCCTGATGTGGCTGTGGCTCCTTATGGAGAGTATTGGAGACAAATGAAGAGTGTGTGTTCTTCATCTCTATTAGACTTGAGTAGTGATTAAATCCGGTTTAGTATTGGTTAAGTATTGTTTCTGGTATGTTGTATTACCCGGAACACTATAAATGATGTATTGACACAATTAAGATCAATAACAGAAATCATTTTTCCCTTATACTTCGTCTTCTTCATACGAAGCAACAAAATGGTACGGTCCTTTTGACGTGAGAGAAGAAGAGGTCAATCTGATGATGGAAAGAATCCGGAATCGAATTCTTTGAGGGTGAATCCAAGCCAGCTCTTGGGAAGTTTAACTAACAATGTGATATGTAGAATTGCTTTGGGACGGAAATATGGTGGTGACACAGATAAGCATAAAGGCAATCATCTTGGTAAAGGGAAAAAGAAACTGAGTTTAGATTCTATGATGTCTCAGTACACACAATCTTAGCTCTTCTTATGGTTTTCACTTTTCAGAATGTTTTTGTTGGTGGTACGGATACATTGTATAGACTTATGGAATGGGCAATGACAGAGCTTCTACGTCACCCGGAGTGTCTGAACAGACTCTAGAAAGAAGTTCGCACGGTTTGTAAGGGTAAATCAAGTGTATCAGAAGACGACATTCAACACATGAAGTACTTAAAAAGCTGTGATGAAAGAGTCATTCAGGCTACCTCCTCCACTTCCATTAATGGTTCCTCACGAATCAACACAAGATGTCAGATTACGAGATTACCACACACAGAGGTTATGATCAATGCTTGGGCGATTGGGAGAGAGGCTGCGACGTGGGGACCAGGCGCGGATGAGTTTAGACCAGAGAGGCATTTAGATTCGTCTCTTGATTTTCGGGGTCAAAATTTTGAGTTGATTCCGTTTGGAGCAGGGAGAAGGATTTGCCCAGCAATATCATTTGTTGTGGTATTGAATGAGGTGGTTTTAGCTAATTTAGTGCATCAATTTGATTGGAGAATACCGGTCGAATCTATAGAAGATCAAACAAGTGTCGCTGAATCAACGGGTAGTGTGATTCACCGCAAGTTCCCTCTTTACGCCATTGCATCACTTAACTAAGACATCATTATAATGTTTTATCAAGTTAAGTGTACAATAAACATGTTTTCATTTGAAACTCTTACTAGTAAAGAGATCCTTGAGATTTAAGTTCTCGGGTACTTACTACTAGGTTAGTTTAGAAAGCCAAGTGAGCTTACTAGGTTCATAATCAGCACATGCTTCAATATTCTTGATGGAAAAATCCACCAAGTTCAGGGATAAGTACCTGGTCCCTATCAAAGATTGGTCCATGTGCTTATTCATCAACCTCAAAAGCAAGAATAACCCAATAATAATGGACTGGAGAAACCAATTC